ATGAGTCTAAATGACCCCATACTCTACGTCCCTCGGTCTATCAATTGTGTTGTTTCATTTATGAGTATAATGATCTATATTGCGTATTCGCCAAGAGACCAGTTCAACATATTGAAATTGGAAGACGGACATGAATACACTCTAAGTGTTAATATATTTTAATTTAGAAATTGCTCTAAATAGGAGCAAAAACGTTTTGAAATTCCAAAATAGGAGTATCATGTTTTTTATTCCCTAAATAGGAGTAATCTGCCATGTTTGAAAAAAAATGCCATGTTTTAAAGCCTAGTAATGCCAAACTTGGCAGAAATTTACTCCTATTCAAGGAATAAAAAACATGATAGTCCTATTTTGGAATTTCAAAACTTTTTTACTCCTATTTAGGGAATTCTCCCATTTTCATTCTGTTGTAGACATAATGGCTGCCCAACTGGAACTTCACGGGAAATACTCATGAGGGCTGTTGTACCATGAGTGTCAGTGTGTCAGTGTGTCAGTCATGGTCTACCATTCTCACATGCTCACAGTCACAATCTCCTTCACTTCAAAAGTTTTTCCTATCATCCTATTTGTCTCCACCAATGCTTACGTTGCTGTTGCATCCAGCAACTTAGATGCCACCATCAATTTAATTGCCACTGCCTGCCTCAGAATAGACTCCAGTGCAAACCATATGACCGCAACTTCTTTCTTCTTGCATCACCATTGACTTTTCCTTTTTTTAATACATCTAAAGGTCACCATTACTTCTGCCGCTGGTGAAGGTTAGCCTCGCTACAGCTGGATATTCTGTCATTACTGCCAATACATTTGTTTCCCGCATTCCTGTTACCAGAATTCCATCATTTGCAATGGAGCCAAAGACTCACTATTCTATTTGGCTTGAAACTATGATGTAATAAAGCAATATGTCTGCGCTTCTTTGTTATGAAGCAAAGTCATTCCATGCAATTTTGGACGTGATTTTCACTACGGGTCATCCGGAAACAGTCTCTCCCTGCTTTAGTATAGGGGGTAAGACTACGTACATCCGACCCCCTTACCCCACCGTAGGTGCGAGCCTTTGCGGCACTGGGGTATTGATGCTGATGATTCCTGTTACCAGAAGATCTACCTCCACCTACTACTCCAAGCAAGCACTATCCTAGCCAAAGGCAGACAATCGATTGTGTCAGATGTGGTTACCTGTGATCACTAAAGATTACAGTTCACCTTCTCCATCAGTACTGGCAGCACTGCCATCGTTGGCAATTATGTCACCCCAACAGGTACTGGCCTCACACTAACTCTAGTACAGCTGTCCCCACATCCTCTGACACTGCTTGGATATCTTCCGCTACTATGGTTTCTCCTCATTTTGCTCATGTTCATTGTTCAAAAAGAAGACATTTTGGTCCAAAATGGAGTTTTTTTATCCTAGCTTTCCCTTTTAATACTTGCTAGTCTGCTACTTGACTGCGCAGACTTCAACACATTACAATTGACAAGTGATACCAAATTTTTGGTTATTTGTTTCACAAAGATTACATTTTATCATGGAAAAGCTTGACATCCAGTGTTACTCTCCTTCAAGTTTGATGTCCACCAGGGAGTAATGATCAAGGCTGTCACGGCGTGAAGGAAAGGTTTGGTGCCAGCAAACCACCTTCTCATTAAGATGACTAGGCAAGCGCCTAGCTGACAGTTGGGCGACAAGTAGACTTATGCATTACTTGAATAAATTATATAAATAGAATATGGAATTATTGTTGTGATTCATGTGATTGACATGTTAGAAACAGGATAAAAATCATAAAGAAATAATTTAAAGTATAAACAAAGATAAAGAAATGAAGTTGAAGAAAGGTGAGTATAGAAAGAGGAACGTAAGAAATAAATTGCAAACTCGGTGGGTTGGACTGCCGGATTAAAATAGATTTGCAAAAAATCTATGCTGGGCGCCCTATGAATGCCTCTTAGTTGATGTCTAAGCAATGGCATTCAATGTTTGGCGCTCTTCAGGTGAGGCGACCAGCCATGACAAGTGATCTCCGTCATGAAAACTATGGTAATGATAAGAACCGTGGTTCATCCTAGGGCTACTTTGATGGAAAGCAGTGGAGTAGAGCGCAAGTAGTCCTCATATAATTGTTGTTAATATTAGAATGAGCTTCCTATTATTGTTATTAATAATAGTTTGCTGTTACCATTGATGCTCTATATTACAAAGCAGTTAATATCACTAGTAGCAAGACTGTACTAGGAGTTAGGACTCTATTCACTTGCTCACCAAGATTTGTCAGCAGTACGAGTAGGGGGTTTAAGTGTTTAACGTCATGAATATCATATAATCCAGTGGTACCTTTGCTTAGTCTATTTAAATTGCTGATTGTTGATGCTTGGGTTGTGAATTTACACACCGTGCTTCTAGAGTTTGAATTTGCACTTTCTTCGTAAACAATTCTCATAATTTCTATGTGTATTGAGGTATGTATTTGGATGTAGGATGTTGGAAGCGTTAAAGAGGAGACGTTAGATGCAGAAACAGTAGGCTCCACGACCAATGAGGTCCAGCGTTTTGATTTATTAAGGAGTGAGCTAATAGAGCTTGAGCGGCGAGTTAAAAGAAGTTCTGATTGGAATGAATTTGAAGAGGTTTGTACTTGTGAAACGAGTATAATGTTTAAAGCTTTAAAAATTAAAAAAAAAGTAATTTGAAGAGGTTTCAAAAATTTTCTTTCAAGTTTCAGTTTTTAAGTTATTACATTTTCGTCCTATCTCACAATTGAACTGTATAAAACTAGATCTCCTCTACAAAGATTAGCCCTCTATTTTCTCCTGTACAATCTCATTGTATCATAGACTTCATTTGAAGGTGTATTTATAGTTTTATACCTGACTGATGATTCATTCATTTTGGCCAAAGCTCTTAAGTGCTCTCTGCTAGCAACATTGTTGTTTATGTGCTTTGTGGTCTAAGTGTAGAACTATATGCATTCTTTTCTTAAGAGTGATTAGATTGCTTTTTAACTCAAATTTAGGACATTCATATGGCAGCTGAGGGTGCTCAACTTGTTCATTATCAGAAGAAAGAAAGCATCATCGAAAAATCATTGGAGAAATTAAAAGAAACAAGCACGGTATGAGGATGTCGATTGCTTTTTATCACTCATTGAGACTCACTGTCCTTGATCATGTACCACCTCCATCCCGGATTAAAGTTCTCACTAAAAAATGGCACGGTTTTTTAGACAATAATTAAATTAGGCAGTCTGAGTATATTTTGAGATGTAGTTGGGTGAGTATAAAATATAATGAAGTAATTGATGATAACTCTGTTGTTGTAGGCATATTATCTTTAATATTTGATGATTAAGTTGTCATTTAAGAGTGCTAGTTATTTCCTAAAATAGAAATGGAGACCTTTAAATGGGATGTCCAAAAGAGGCAAGTGAGAACCATTAGCTGGGACAGAAAGATTAGTATATAACAATAGGTGAAGCACTTGAACACTATTTTTCAATTGCGTTTGCATTTTATATATAGCTATTAACTAGCTTACAGAAGGATCAACTGTGTTACTTCAGTAGTCAGATAGCTATTAGTCTTTTGTCTCCGCCTCTCCGGAAAGTCTCCAACTTTTCCAGAGAATATTGTGTTTGTGTATAAATGGGCACATTCCTGTCATTGTTTTGTGTTTCAAATGCCATCTTTCAGAAACAATGTCAAAAAAAAGTCTGAGAAACATCCAAACATATTAGTTATAACAATGCTTTGCGTGGTCAGGATGTTTGGCAAGGTACTCAGCTTCTTGCTATTGATGCTGCTGCAGCTACTGAGTTGCTAAGGAGGTCCCTAATAGGGGATGAGTTGACTGGGAAAGAAAAACAAGTACTCCGAAGAACTTTAACAGATTTGGCATCTGTCGTTCCGATTAGTTTTCTTATGCTTCTTCCTGTAAGTGTATTCCATGTGTTGTTTAACTTAGAACTCTTAGAACTGATTGTAGTAATTCATGTTTGGATTGTCAAAAAAGGATAAACATTCTATTTTCCATTTCTAATAAAAGCAGCTTTCTTTTTGGCATAACATACCAGATCTGTGTACTGTTTGGAGTTGATGTTTAGACTGACTTGTGATCATCACCATCATTATCAGCACCTTAATCCCAATATCTTGGGTTGGTGGCATGACATTTAGCGTCAATTACTTGTCTACAGTTACTGAACATCATAAATTGATACAAAAAGAAGTGGTCAAGCTTTAAGCAATATTCCTGTCATAAGTCATAACCTTCTGTTAAAAGTTTTTTGTTTGTTGTAATGAAGCAGTATTTTCATTGTCTTATAATAAGACATAATATCTTACATTCTCTATTTCCCTCCCAGAAGATTAAATGCTCAATTAGTGTAAAGCTGATGTGTGGAAATATACATTTGCAGGTCACTGCAGTTGGGCATGCAGCCATGTTGGCTGCGATACAAAGATATGTACCAGCATTGGTAAGGCTTCTGCCAACTCTATACTATTCTTTTGATAACTTTATCAAGCTTAAGATTTTGTAACCCTTCCTGTCAGATTCCTTCTACGTATGGCCCTGAAAGGCTAGCCCTACTTAGGCAGCTCGAAAAAATGAAAGAAATGAAAGCTGAAGTGGATCCAAGTGAGAAGTCTAAGGAGTAGCCAAAGTTAGAAAGATATGCAGCACAGATTCAGTCCATCATAGTTCTGAACCCTTCAAACAAGAGATGTGCATAAATAAGTTCGTTCCAACTGTCTGGCACCCCAGGCAGGCACCAATGGCTGCAGTCTTGTGGGGAATCTGCTGGTGTGCCCGGTTCCCTGTGGTTTGAAGGGTGTCCATCTTTCCTTATCTCGGTCATATAAGTGATGTTCAAGAAGGAAACATTTCTGCCCATTTTTTTCATTTGTTTGACGATGTTCGAAATATAGATATTGTTGATTGGGTCTCCCTCCAGATTACTGCGGTCTGTTTCTGGTGCTGTGTTTGTATGACAGTAACCTCCTAATTTCCACGTTCCATTCCTGCATTTTGCCGTCTTATAACCATTCATACTGAGATTTATCATTCGTTCACTAACAATGCTATTATTGTGTCACTTGCCTGTAATGCACTGGGGAATAGCTGCGAAAGACGACATGAGTCTTGGGCTTCAGATTCTGTGTTACCCAGGTAGCCAACGTTTTCAAGGATCGGCGGAATGCCTCTGTGACATGCATGGTCATGTTCACAGCCTCCCCTTCCTGGAAATATATTCCCCTGAAATTCAAGAAAACGAGACTTGGTTGGTTTATGCTTTTCTTACTTTTTTATTACCCTGCTCTAGAAAGCACTAGGCACCCGTTGGGCCATAGACCGGGACCTAGGCTCTAGACTGGGAGCCACTTTATTCTGGTTATCAGCTTTATCAATTAGGTTCTTGAACCAACACCATTTATTTTACTGAAGTTGCTCAAACTACTGAAAAAATATGGATTTGGTCTGTCAATTTTACAACTATATATTTCTTTATATTGTGATCAAAATCTATCTTAACTGTTCTTTTATAGCATTCAACAACTTCATCAATGTCATTCATGACTTAAAAAAATTCAGCAATCTTATCAACTTTGAGAGTAGGGATGGAATCGGGTCCGGGCCGGGCTTAGGCCCGGCCGGGCCGGCGGTTCAGGAATGGTGGACCCAGGCCGGCCCGGGTAGCCACCGGGTCCGGGTCCGGGCCGGGCCTCCGGTTTGGTTTTTTTTTTTTTGCTTTCCTACCCCCACCCTCCCAAACCCCCCAAACCCATCCTACCCATCAAGCCCAACCCGGGTGGAACCCCAAAAATGAAAAAAATAAAAATAAATTCAATTTGGCCCGGGCCCGACCCGGCTGGGCCGGTTCACCAAATTTGAGACCCGAGCCCGGACCCGCCCTACCCCCGGGCCTAGGCCTGACCCGGACCCGAGAACCGGGCCGGTCCCGGTCCCGCACAGTAGCGGGCCCGGCCGGTCCACGGGCTGGGTGGCCCGACCCGAGTCCAACCATATTTGAGAGGTTCAAGATAAAATCCGCTCTTAGTAAATGGGATCTTAAATGGATCTGAAATAAAAAAATCTTTGACGATAAAAGGATGTTGGGATTTTTAAAACATTGCTGATCACGTTGGGGTAGGCTGTGGACCTGGTTCTTGAACCAGACTAGGATAAACTGGTGGCTTGTTCAGAAATAAAACTGGTTCTCCAGTTGCAGATCTAAGCCAGTACTAAAAAGTGTAGAAACCAGTCAAACCAGTTCTGGCTTCAATATACGATTGGAGACTTGGAGTCACCGGATTAGTCTTTTTGCTGCTCTAGTCCATGTTTTTCAAAACAGGCAGAATATCAGTCTCGCACGGGACTAGGACTGACTACAGTCTTTCTGTTAATCATCCATAATTACTTGAATTGTATGATCTCAACATAACATCTACTTGAGAGTAGTTGCTTACATCTTAGTGGTTTTATCATCGTTCCACCAATGACCTGCACTAAATATGATGACATCTGCACCAACCCACTTTGCTGCAAACCAGTGAAGCTTGTCAAGTCGAACCACACCCTTCACTTCCTTTGGTGCATTGACCGGTGGTCGGTCAAGGGTTACAAGGAATGGGTCCCGATAGTACTCGACGGTGAGGTTGAATTCTTGAAACCGCATCGAGAGATAGCCTCGGTGTTTGCTTATGGGGTTCCCTGATTCCTCGTAAATGCTGGATTTATTATTAACACCTCGTGCTAACATGCACAAGAAAGATTCCCATTGGTTTCTAGCTATGGAATCACCAGCAAAAACTATTCGACTGTTCCGGCTCCGTTCTAAAAGATCACTTGCCTTAAACCTGCATATATAGTAAAATGAAAGTGCAATTACAGATAGTGTACTCTACCCTGAAACTAATGTGAAAATTTCTTTACACCTAACAATGTTGGTGTCAAATAATAGATTTATTTATGAAAGTTTGAATTTTCTATTTTAGGTAAAACTGATAATTTATCAAGACTATTTTTTAACCCTTTCTTGTGTGAACCGTAACGTGCATTGACCGGTTTTCACTATCTATGCCAATGTTTTAGGGTAATTGATGTGTGAGTGTTATTGAAAAATGGAATCTGGCGTATAGCCGCAATTGAAGGATCAATTTGCGTCGGGCTTTTCAAGAGAACAATCTTAGGTGCCATGGGTCAAGTTCGTGTCGGCAACATTACGTTCTACTAGTAATCATTAAGTCTAGCCAACTTTGTCCCAAAAGTATTCAAAACTACCCACAAAAACACCACAGTTATTTTGACTATTTCCCCACTCCATTCATCATTTCAACAAACAAAAAACTAGTTTCATGCCTATCCCAAATTTGAAAAAACACTTCATTTCATTGGTAAAAGAAACCTATAATGAAAACTTAGTTTATCGAACGAGTTCTTCTATCGACTGGATGGGGGTCTCAGTCGCCCCAAGTAAAAACGTATGTTGATGTTTTAAGTTTTAGCTCTCATAATATAAAATTTTCAATATTAGCCTCCTAAATTTCTGACTTTACCACTGTCCACCCCAACATTTCCTCGTGACAATGACACTGGTCAATCAAGATCCATTCATCATCGATGATTTGCTAAAACTATAGTTAAAGACACATACTCACATTCCATGCAAAAAAGAATTTAATGGTGTTTAAAAATGACGAGTGATAAACTAAACACTAGCAAGTGACTAGGGAGGCTTACCTTGGAAGATCACAACCATATGGTTTCCACCTCCAACTCTGATAGCCTAAATCGAGGCGGCCGTTGGCATGGCAGCGGAACCCGGGATCCAAGAATGAACAGTTCTCGGTGTACCTATCCCGGGAATAGTTTTCATCCCAAACCCATTCTCCATAAGAATAGTCACAAGTTGAAGATATTGGGAACATGTCTCGGGTTTTTGGGGGTGCTGGTATGATCTTGGACAAGAAGCCAATTTGATCCAGAAGATGAGATTGAGGTGTGAGAAGATGGTAGACTATGATGGAAGTGAAGAAGAATAAAGAAAGGAAGAGTGCCTGGGAAGTCTTTTTCTTTGTGGTTGTGATGAAGGTTGGGAAAGTGAAAAAGTGGGGAATTGGCATTGAGGAAGAAGAAGAAGTGCTGTGATGATCCATGATAAGTGGCAGATGGGTTAAAGCTTGAATGGGTTGCACGTTTATGCGGACGTAACTTCTCTACCTTCCTTGTCTCAAAACACACGCACGCCATTCCTCTTTCATGAGTTCATCTCAGCCGTTTCTTGAGTTTTTAAGAGGAGAATCCTCTGTTATTAATACTTATTAATAGGTCGAAATATGAATCCAGATTATTTTAAGATTATTTGAAAAGTATATGTTATATGTTAGAAAAAAGCGGATTATTTGAAGATGATGGTTGAGAGACATAAACGAATTTTGAGATTATTTAAACATTAATTACAAAACATTATTTAAAAGGTAAGAATCATTGAAAAAATTGATTGCTAAAGATGGTGATGCTCCAAGTAGAACAAAGACTTGAGATATTTTAACTTGCACTTATTTGAGTCACCGACCAGAGCAGACAAACATAAAAACACAAAATCAAACCAGATTTAAATACACAAAATCAGACGTTGACAATTATATAATGCACAAAGACCATATATTTATGAGAACAGTTTAAACCAGACTAAACTTAAATAGATGAGACGAGACCATATCAGACTAGACCAAAAAACTTCAGTCCAATTAGAAATATCAATAGACAATAACAAAACACACCGATCAGACAAGAATTTCAAGACTTTGACTTTTGTTAAAACATCAAAGTTAAAACAACTTAAAAATACCAAAGATCAGAATAGAAGTAACTACGGAGTATGTTTTATTCGTTGTTAGGAGCTTTAGGTTATTGTTCATTGTCTTTGACATTTGTGTGTAATGTCTCACATATCCTTATGCATGTGCTACCATAACTGGTTTAATAAGTACTACCTCCGTCTCAAATTCATTTGCAAATTTGATTTTTTTAGTCAAACAGTTTCATATTATTCGTTTAATTAGGATGCCAATTTTTAATTATATTCTAATTTGTTGTTTACAAATTTGAAGAGATTTTAATATAGTTTCTGAATATGTAAATTTTATTTATTAAAAATTTAATTAATTATCGATAGGAACAATTTGGAAAGAAGGAAGTACGTTTTTGGATTGATTCCGATTGAAATTATTTAGAACTTTCATTCATTCTTCTTATATGCGGTTTGTTTCCTTTTCCCGTCATATCCTCTGTTTTCATTGATCTCTTTCCTTTTGAACACCCGCTACAATCGCGTCATATTTATTTCACTAGACTAGATTCATTATTCTTCATTTGTTATATCTTTCATTCTATGTTTAAGGTCTTCTATTGTACGGAGCTTTCCCAATTTCATCATTCAACAAATTAGGATTTTTTATTTGGACTGTAATTTGCTGGTCTGGTTTGGTCTGTTTTGATCTGGTCTGGTCTAAAATTTTATTTTTTATATTATTTGCATACAGATTATATATTATAATCCATAAATAATAATAATAATTGTAATAATAATAATAATATTAGTAGTAGTAATAATAATAATAATACTCCCTCCGTCCCGGAATTATCTTCATTCTTTCCTTTTCGGTCCGTCCCAAATTTATCTTCTTTTTCCCTTTTTGGTAAAGAATATGTGGTTTACAACCATTCTTACACATTTCTCTCTCCTCTGCATAACTCTCCACCACACAAATCCCACTATCTTAAAACCCGTGCCCGGTCAAAACCGGAGTTAAATATGGGACGGAGGGAGTAATAATTAGGGACGTGCAATATCCGGTTTAAACCAGAAAACCGGACCAAACCAGCCCGGAAAAACCGGAACCGGATCGAACCGGAATGATATCCGGTCTGGTTCAGTATGGTACGGTCCGGTCCGGTTTTGAACCGGTGCACACCCCTAATAATAATAATAATAATAATAATAATAATAGTTAGGGGCGTGCACTATCCGGTTTAAACCGGAAAATCGGACTGAATTGGATCGGAAAAATCGGAACCAGATCGAACTGGAATGATAGCCGGTCCGTTTCGGTACGGTCCGGTTTTCAACCGGTGCACACCCCTAATAATAATAATAATAATAATAATAATAATAATTATTATTATTATTATTATTATTATTATTATTATTATTATTATTATTATTATTATTATTATTATTATTATCAGGGGCGTGCACTATCCGGTTTAAACCGGAAAATCGGACCAAACCGGATCGGAAAAACCGGAACCAGATTGAACCGGAATGATATCTGGTCCGGTTCGGTACGGTTCGGTACGGTTTTGAACCGGTGCATACTCCTAATAATAATAATAATAATAATAATAATAATAATAATAATAATAATAATAATAAAAATATGGTTTGGTCTGGTCTGGTCTGTTTTAGTCTGGTGTGGTCTGGTCTGTTCTGGTCTGGTCTGAGATGAATTACAGTCCAAGTAAAAACAACCATAAAACGGAGTACTTTTTAATTCTCTGTAATGGTTGTTGATTACTTAATAGGTTTTTCAATAAGTTTTCTTATCTTCAAAAGTTAATTATCAAAATAGGATTAAAAGTCACTCACTTTGTACATATACGATCAAAAAATAAACTATGTTTTCATAAGACTAATTATGTGTGTCTTGGACAAATATACCCTTATGTTTTTTAGACGCGTGAGACGCTGTCCTAAACAAAGTATTTCCGGTAGCCGGAAATCTTCCCGGGATATAACGAGCCCTTCGTCGAGTTTGCAAGACACATCCAGAATCTACGAGGATGTAATATGTATCGTGAGTAACCCAGCAGTTTGTTAACTAGTACGTAGTATAAATATATTAAAGCTTCTAAAATTAATCGCAACTACGTATGTATAATACGAAGTAATAAGCTTCTTGTGAAAATGGTTTAGAACGTAGGTATCCCACTGCTCGAGTACTCCCTCCGTCCCGTTGTAATGTTTTCGCTTTCCTTTTTTCGATGTTCCGTTGGAAAGTTCCCATTTCCCTAAATGGAAAGTTATCCTACATCAAAAAAGGGTCAAACAGTGCAAAACAATGTCAAACAGTGTCGAAACAGTGTCAAACAGTGTCGAAACAGTGTCGAAATAGTAAAATTTACCCCCTGCTAAATTTATTTCATTAATATGTGTGTAGGTCAAACCGGGAACATTACAACGGAACGAAGGGAGTATATAAATAAGCAAATGAATAGAAACTAAAATAATTTGTGGGGTATTTTGTGATGATCCATAATTCTAGGAAATAAATGCGGACTATCATTCAACTTAGCACGTTCCACATTACTCGTTCCACTCAAAGCCAATTCAAAACCATATCCGGATCAAATCTTGAAATTATTACTCGAACGTGGAAAGTTCAAAGCATTTAGTTTAATATAAAACTATTAAAAATTAATTTTTTTATTTGAAATACTAAATAAATTTCCAACAATTCCGCACATATTTCAAATAAACATTTGAGTTTAAAATAATTTTGAAAATCTGCTGGATTAACGGGAATGAGACTTTAAGTCTGGCGTCCGAAGACTATGAATCAAATCGAGACGATTAAGTCTTTATAAACCGAGCTTTTGGTGAAACATATAGTTTCTATGAACCAGGAAGCTACTATGGTAAATCAGGGTCTTAATGGCCATGTCTCACCCCCACAATTCCTCGCGTTAACGCCGTGGTGCGCCTTTAGGCCGTGCGCGTGCTTGGTATTCTTGAGTGCTCTAGAAGCGTTGTCATGCTTCATGGAGGCGCCCCACCTCACACTCATATAGGTGACCTCATCAAGTGTGTTCTCCACTTAACACACCAGCCATAAGGCTATGAAAGTCATTAAGAGTTTTACCTCAGCCTCACAACAAATGCAGTCTAGCCTCACCCTAGAAATGAACATTTAAAATAGGCTAGCAGAACAAATAGAAGACTTGTTATTACCCATATGAACCTGCTTCACGGGATCTCCGATCACACCGGTTGGGTTACCATCCCTATTTGTTAGCAAGCGACAGTCCATTTCCCTCGGTGAAAAATTATAATATCCTAGGATTTCGACCAAAGGAGACTAACTCCACTCGTTATAGTTATATGACAACTTTATATTTCATATATTTCATATGATATCGTTGTAGTCGACTATACAACAATATCATCTAAAAAAATGATATCATCATTGTATTACTTTAATACAATGGTTTAGCTCACCAAATACACTTTTGTATTTCCACAATTTTTCTCAATCTTCCGACATTACGCCGGGCTTCACACGGTTTGTTAATTTAACAAACTCACAATTTTATTATTCATAATGAACATTAAAATTTACTGCACCAATTTGAAATTCAAGGCCATTTGTGTGATATTCAACTCATTACATCTTTACCTTCTCAAAAGATAAAGGAACATTAAACTTTACCCAGCCCCCACATTTTGAATATATACAGTACGCGCGGTGCAAAGACCATTAATAACAATCATGCATAATACTCACTTCAGCTAATTAGAATGTAGAAATAAACAATAAAAGCACTAAATCATAATGTACCAACATGCATGTAAAATTGTACTTTATACGCGAGTTACACCACGAAATAAATCCCCGCTACATCTTTCATTTTTATCATTTGAAAAATAGTGTATGAATATAAAATACAATATACTTATTTTATGTGGATTAATAAAATTTTGTATTAAATTGGCAAAGAAAAAAATTAATTCAGTTATAATTGAATTAGTTCAAGATAAAGATAAGTAAAAAATCACAAATAATTAGATATAACTCACACATAGTTACATGTAACTCACGCATAAAAGTATGTAACTCGTGTATAACATGATGTAACTCACACATAACAAGATGTAACTCACACATAATTACATGTAACTCGCACATAAAAGTATGTAACTCACCGGGTTAAAAAAAGTATGTAACTCGTGTATAGCAAGATGTAACTCACACATAACAAGATGTAACTCACACATAATAACTTGTAACTGGAGTATAAGATGATGTAACTTCATATATTATCAAATGTAACTCCAAGCTAGAAGCAAAATAAACAAACTCAATATCTTAAAAACTTCTAAAAACATATAAAAGTGATAAAAAAAATATTATAGAAAAAGTGTATGCAGATAAAAATATATTACAAAAAAATGTATGAATGTAAAAAATTAAAATTACATAGGCAATATTGGTCTCATTTGAAAGATCATGAAAAATAAAAAATTTTGATATAAATTTTATAAAAATCGGATCAAAAATAAAAAAAATTATTAACAATTTTAAGAAAAGGAGATAAAAAATAACAAAGGGTGCATGGTGCTCACCATGCACCGGTTCCACGTTATAAGCACCGATCAGGATTAGGATAGGGATTAAAGTATAATAGCAATAAAATAGCAACGTAACGCATGTAACTAATTAAAACTTTCCAATGCATGCCATTAATCATACGAATCAATCAAATAATTGGAGTATTATCACATAACATCCACTCTAGCAATAGCCTTTGCCTACAAAAAGCATTTCTTTCATCATAACAATTTTGTCACAATCAAAAGATATTTTAATCCCAATTTATATCAAGAGAAACGAAAACTAAATTAATTAGTCCGAATCTCGGGCACATGAAGCACATCATTTAGTGACAAAGTTTACCCCGATGTGAGTTTATGAATAACATTTCATTTGCCATGCACCTTAGCGGGTTCGAGTCTACTCCTAGGTAGACAAGGTATTTGTCATCTCCTATATTAGTATAGGATATTAAAGCACTTTTGTTTTTACAAATGCACTTGGTAGTTAAGTCTACCATCCAATCATTTACATCATTGATTTTACAACTTGGAGAAACAACCACAATAAAATAGGGAGATTTACCTAAATAGGAGTAAATAAAAGGATAATTGCAACAATAGGAGTTTAAAGTTTAAATTCCCAAAATAGGACTAACTCTTCCTATTCTACCCTTTCCTTTCTCCTTGATAATAGGATTTTTAAACAATCATTATAAAATATAAAAAAAAATCAAAATAAAAAAATAAAAATCGTAAAAAATAATTAAAAAATATATAGACCCCAATCACCACCTCAGCCACCTTCCAGCACCGCCATCTCCGATCACCGGAAAAGATTGCCAAGTTGGGGAAAAAATGTCATCATGATGGCAAATTTGAAGAGAAGCAAGAGAAAGCTGGATATTTTCAAAAAGTAAAAATGCCATCTTTATGACATTTTCAGAGAAATGTGGCATTTTTTACACAAGATGGCATTTTTTTCCGACGACCGGAGTCGATGGTGCGGGGAGGTAGAGGACGTGTTGGCAGTGACCTACATATTTTTTAAATATTTTTTAGGTATTTTATTTTATTTTTTGGACTTTTTTTTAAAAAATTAATATTTTTTTATTTTTAATTTTTTAATTTTTATTTTATTTTTTCACGTTTTCATTATTATTTTATAAATATTTTATTATTTTTTATATTTTTATTATAAATAAAACTATGATTTTCTTATTAATAAAATAAATCTATTGGAAATGATAGGAAGGGAGTAGAATGGGAAGAAAGACATATATTAGTCCTATTTTGGGAATAAAAGGATTGTACTCTTATTGTTGAATTTTGAGCTTATTTTACTCATACTAAGGGCTAATACCCGAATAAAATATCATCACTTTTAACCTAGCACTTTGAACTTGATTTTAGTGGAGTGTTGTTTTCCGGGTTTTTTACAAGAATATTACTAAAATAAAACTTATTTACATAAATATGACTATTCATTACTACAATGTAGTGTTGTGGTAACTTAAGTTCAAAACTTGAACATGAATTACTATGATTTCATTACTACTCTAGTAACTAGTCATATTTTTGTAAATCATCTATATTTTGGTCATATTTATGTAATTATTTCTTGTTTTCCATACTTATCTTTTTATCACTAAAAACGTCATTTATAATATAGTGGGATTAAAATAAGATTTATTGTAAGAACGGTTTCAAAAAAAAAACACCAAAATAATGCAAGACACACATAACACATTGGCAGATTCATAGAGATTTCAAAATATGGAACTAAAATACGGAGTAATTAATTAAGATACCAGATTTCGCGGCAGACATGTTGACATAGATGGTGCCAGGCTAGCAGCACATTCAGTAATCCATAGAAGCTCATTTGTTGATACGAATCACTGATTCAATTCACTGGCCGTAAAAACCGACGGCAAACACAGACGGCAACCACGTACCAGGATGGTCAGGAAGCAAGTATGCGGCGACTTTTCGTCCATCCTTATCTCAGCCGACGGATACGAGGCACTCCGGCATGCTAATGACTTCTACTTTTCTCTCCGGCAATTTGGGGCAGCCGTTTCCAACGACATACTTTCTTTAGATTGTTGGAGATATTCGTCGTTGTAACCTGCAAAACAATATTAGAAAATAAAACAGCTCGAGACACTGTCCTAAAGAAAGTATTTCCGGTGGTCCGAAATCTTCCCCCAAGATATAACGAGTCCTTCGACGAGTTTTCCGAACGCAGAATCTACGAGGATGTAATATGTATCGTGAGTAACCCAGCAGTTTGTTAACTAGTACGTAGTATAAATATATTAAAGCTTCTAAAATTAATCGCAACTACGTATTAAGCTTCTTGTGAAAATGGTTTAGAACGTAGGTATCCCACTGCTCGCATGCATGTAGTATATAAATAATTAAGCAAATGAATAGAAACTAAAATAATTTGTTGGGTATTTTGTGATGATCCATAATTCTAGGAAATAAATGCGGACTATCATTCAACTTAGCACGTTCCACATTACTCGTTCAGCCAATTCAAAACCATATCCGGATCAAATCTTGAAATTATTACTCGAACGTGGAAAGTTCAAAGCATTTAGTTAAATACGTATAAAACTATTTAAAAGAGTGATTTACCTAAATAAGACTAAAACTTGTCAAAAATGCAAAAGTAGGATCATCAGTTTTCCGTTTAATTCGATACGACTAAAAATAGAATGGAATCGCAAAATTGCCCCTGATTTATGCGTTGCCTCACTTTCTTCCCGGCAGCGATTAATTTGTGCGACGATGATGGGTGCGAAGAATGTAGCGGACGATAATAGCTCTGCTGCTGCATGCCCAGGTAAGCTCCTTCTCCTGCATCTCATGTGTTTTCTTCTTCCATGTTTTTTTTTTGTTTTTCTTCTTTCTTTGGATGTCTAAATTATTTTTTTGGATGTCATCATAGTTCTTTTATTTAAACACTAATTTCAAAGTAATGTTACTGTTATGTCATCACAATCATCAAGATGACATATTTATTTTACATTTTTATTAAACATTTGAAGCAAAAACTTGACATTTTCAGAGTTATAATGACATTCTCGTGATAAACATGACATTTTTTATAAAGTAAAAGGAGAGACTGCCATGTTTATACATTTGTAAATGTCATCTTCATGACAGTTTTACTTTACATCTTTATTGAATATTTGAAGCAAAACTTGACATTTTTAGAGTAATAATGACATTCTCTTGATAAACATGACATTTTTTATAAAGTAAAAGAATGAGAGACTGCCATGTTTTATACATTTGTAAATGTCATCTTCATGACAGTCTTTCTTTACAAATTTACTGAACATTTGAAGCAAAACTTGATATTTTCAGAGTAATAATGACATTCTCGTGATAAGCATGATATTTTTTATAAAGTAAAAGAAGGAGAGACTGCAATGTTTTATACATTTGTAAATGTCAACTTCATGAAGAAGAAGAAGAAGAAGAGAAGTAGCAGGAAGAGTAATACTTGAAAGTCTGAAATTGAAGTTGACGTCACCATCATTTTAATTTGGAAGATAAAATCTTCTAAACGGAAGAGGGAAGATCGGGTGATGCAGAGGTGTTTCAAATTCAATCAGAAATGGGAGAAGAGATAGATCGGTGAAAGTTCCGATAAAGAAATCTGAGGTGGAGGTACAGAGAGATTAGAAGTCGAGCAGCAAAAGTAATTGGGGATTTTGAACATCCCTGGAGAAGAAACGTACAAGGCGGCGATGCGGACCTACTCAATGTTAAGGCGTCGATGAGGAATAAGAGAAGGATTGAGCGACAGAGGAAAATAGGGGCTTTTTGGACATTGCAGAAACTGTAAAAAGTCGGGAGAGGAACGTATCAGTCCTATAATGAGAATAAATCATGATAACTCCTATTTTGGCTTTTTATCTATCTTTTAGTCCTATTTAGGACAATTTTTTCTATTTAAAATTAATTTTGTTTATTTGAAATACTAAACAAATTTCCAACAATCTTTGCACGTTCCACGTTACTCGTTCCACTCAAAGACAATAGACTAAAAGATCACTTGCCTTAAACCTGCATATATAGTAAAATGAAAGTGCAATTAATTACTTTACCTTGAAAGTGTGAAACTAATGTGAAATTTTCTTTAAACCTAACAATGTTGGTGTCGAATAATAGATTTATTTATGAAAGTTTGGATTTTCTATTCTTAGGTAAAAGTGATAATTTATCAAGACTATTTTTTTAACCATTTCTTGTGTGAACCGTAACGTGAAACTAACGTGCATAAATTTATCTATTTTTTTAGGGTAATTGATGTGTGAGTGTTATTGAAGGATTTGAAGCATGGAATCTGGCGTATAGCCGCAATTGAAGGATCAATTTGCGTCGGGCTTTTCAAGAGAACAATCTTAGGTGTCATGGGTCAAGTTCGTGTCGGCAACATTACGTTATACCAGTAATCATTAAGCCTAGCCAACTTTGTCTCAAAAGTATTCAAAACTACCCACAAAAACACCACCGTTATTTCGACTATTTCCCCACTCCATTCATCATTTCAACAAACAAAAAACTAGTTTCATGCCTATCCCAAATTTGAACTTTCATTCATTCTTTTTATATGCGGTTAGTTTCCTTTTCCCGTCATATTCTCTGTTTTCATTGATCTCTTTCCTTTTGAACACCCGCTACAATCGCGTCATATTTATTTCACTAGACTATATTCATTATTATTCTTCATTTGTTATATCTTTCATTCTATGTTTAAGGTCTTCTATTGTATGGAGCTTTCCCAATTTCCTCATTCAACAAATTAGGATGTTTTTATTTGGACTGTAATTTGCTAGTTTGGTATGGTCTGTTTTGGTCTGGTCTGGTCTGAAATTTTATTTTTTATATTTTTTGCATAAAGATTATAATCCATAAATAAAAATAATTGTAATAATAATATTAGTAGTAATAATAATAATAATAATAATAATAATAATAATAATAATAATTAGGGACATGAACTATCCGGTTTAAACCGGATAACCGGACCGATCTGGAAAAACCGGAACCAGATTGAACCAGAATGATATCCGGTCTGGTTCGGTATGATCTGGTCTGGTTTTGAACCGGTGCACACCCCTAATAATAATAATAGTAATAATAATAATAATAATAATAATAATAATAGTTAGGGGCGTGCACTATCCGGTTTAAACCGGAAAATCGGACCGAATTGGACCGGAAAAATCGGAACCAGATCGAACCGGAATGATAGCCGGTCCGTTTCGGTACGGTCCGGTCCGGTTTTGAACCGGTGCACACCCCTAATAATAATAATAATAATAATAATAATAATAATTATTATTATTATTATTATTATTATTATTATTATTATTATTAGGGGCGTGCACTATCCGGTTTAAACCGGAAAATCGGACCGAACCGGATCGAAAAAACCGGAACCAGATCGAACCGGAATGATATCTGGTCCGGTTCGGTACGGTCCGGTTTTGAACCGGTGCACACTCCTAATAATAATAATAATAATAATAATAATAATAATACTGCTACTACTACTACTACTACTACTACTACTAATAATAATAATAATAATAATAATAATAATAATAATAATAATAATAATAATAATAATAATAATAATAATAATAATATGGTCTGGTCTGGTTTGTTTTAGTCTGGTCTGGTCTGGTCTGTTCTGGTCTGGTCTGGTCTGGTCTGGTCTGGGACTAATTACAGTCCAAGTAAAAACAACCTTATTACGGAGTACTTTTTAATTCTCTATAATGGTTGTTGATTACTTAATAGGTTTTTCAATAATTTTTCTTATCTTCAAAAGTTAATTATCAAAATAGGACTAAAAGTCACTCACTTTGTACATATAGGATAAAAAAATAACGCCCAAGCTTCGCGCACCCCAACAAATGCTGGGTACACCCCATTTCTTTCAAAATTGGACAAATTTGTCCTCATACGGAGCATTAATTACAAATAATTAGTTAATTACTCCGTATTATTACTAGTACTCGTTATCAATTTAGTTGTTCCGTGGCAACATTAGTTAAACAAACACACACTACCAAATCTCTATGCAATATTTTTGTAGCAAACACTTATTGTTTTTACAAAATATTATAAGTTATTCATTTTTCTTCCAATGTTTACAAAAAATAGACCAAATTAAACATTTTTCATAATCTTATGTTGGCCCAATGTGCTGGCCCTATGTTTCCAAAATTTTGTGTAACATGTTTCCAAATACACTTAAATGTTTTCAAATAGTTCTCAACATACACTTAAATTCCTAATGCAATCAAGATTACACTTTCTAACTACTATATCAATATTTGGAACTCATTATTAATGCTTCTATAATTTTTTTACAATCTTCTTATACAATGGAGGATGAATCTGAAAAATATCTAAAAAAATAGTAGTCTTGATTTTCACACTCATGAGGTATTCATCATCCTCACTATTTGTATCTCAGTTCTTCTTTGTGATGTGATTCATTAAGTTTGCCGTATACAATATTCGTTAATATTTTGATGGCCATATATATACTTTGTTATTCATCTTTATAATCATGTAACTACGATATGACATTATCTAGGATGTTTTAATTGTTATCTCAATTTAAACCATATCAATTTTCGATAGTTGTTTAACACGGTTAGAAAAAACACCTGCACATAAACATACATGTAATAGTGCAGACCAGTTCAGATTAGATCAGACCAAACTCAAATAAAATAAATAATATAACATTATACCAGATTAGACTAGACCAATAAATTTTTATTCAATTAAAAACATCTTTATTTGCATTATTATAATAAATTAATGTCACCCAATAATTAATTTTTGTCAAACTAATAAGTACACTTCAAATAGCAATTGTCTTTTTATAAATTAACGGCTCCTATATATAACTTAGAATGTTATTAAATATATTTTTATTTGAACTTGTATACTATATTTTTGATAATGTTTTTTTGATAGTATAATTTTTAATAAGTATACTTAGTATTAGATTTTTTTTTGGAAATTCTATATTATATTATATATTTGAATAAGTAACATTTTTAATTCTAGTAAACTAATTGCCTTCATTTTTTATTTGTTGAACTAATTTCAGACGTGGTGGGGCCCACCTTTTAAAACTACATCACCACCATGTTGATTCCATATTACGATCATATATGTTACATGACTAGATTTATGATGTGAAAGGTATTAGTTAGTTTTTAATTGATCTGATTTTAAACCAGATAGATACAAACAAATAGAATCAGATCAGACTAGACTAGATTTAAATAATAGTAAATATACATTTTTCGACTGTTCACGAGACTTGATTAGATTTT